AATCGGATAGGTCTGCGGCCGGCTAGGGGGATTTTTGGGACACCCTGTATAGTTTTCAAAGGTTTTTTTTGTAACAAGAACATAACAAAATTTAGGAAGCACGATGGTACCGCTGCGAATTGGCGTCGCCTCCTCGATCCAGTCGTTAGGCTCTTTTGTGGGGACGCTAGGTATGAAATGAATGTAGTTGGAGAATAAGGAGGTTAGAAAAGCGTTATTTTCTTTTTTTTTGCAGTATAGAACATTGTCGAGGTTAATTAGAAACTTGAAAAGACGAGGTAGACGATGTAGAGATTAGACATTTGATTCGGAGGGATGAAACAGTCAGATTTTCTTGGTTTTCTAAGTTCTTTAAGGCTGTTTTTTTGCCATAAACACGCCAGAAAAATCAGGATTGGCCACCACTAACTGGTTTTTTAGGTTTTTAACATTTTACAGCCGTCTCCTTGCTGGCCATCCCCGCCTACATCAGCGTCACCGGGCACGCGCAAAGCTACGTCAACTGCGCGGTAATCCGTAAGTTTTTGCGGACGAGCTTTTCGAGAATTAATCTAGCCATAATACTATCCAATACGTTGACATTAAAACTTGATAGAAAAGCGTCACAAGCGCTATTTTTAGAATTCACCGCCGTGTTGATCGCGTTCGTGTACACAATTTTCTACGTCAAAGAAACGCATCACCCGCAGCTCGACCCGTACACGACGGCCGCACGATTTGGGGGATATCGTAAGTGAATTTCGTACTTAGGAAGCGGACCTAAATTACACGCGCCCTAATTTTTTCCATCACTTCTTTTTTCAAAACACCTTTTCAGTGGTACGCGCCGATTCGGAAACTTCGGAAGTTCAGCCAGAGACGGGTTGTATCGCGAAGGCAAAAGGATATTTCAACGCGTTGATGGAGGTGATTTTCTTGATTTTTAAAAAGTTAAATTTTGACGAATTCTTAGATTCTAAAGGTTGAAAAGTTATGGCAAAATTTTCTCTTTTAGGTTCTCCTCGAGCGACGGCCAGGGTGGACACGTCTGTGCCTCAATCTGTCGATTTTCTTCGTTTTTGTCGAATTTTTGGCGATGGGTAGGTATTTATTAACAAAATCTAACGTTGCACGGGCCTTAAAAGCTTATAAAATGGTTTATTTACCATACAAAAATTTGTTACAAGCGCTAAAAAGTGCAATTTCGGTTCTTTCGCGTTTCCTAGGATCGGATTCTTTAAATACAAATAGCGAAAATGTTTCTAAGCTGTTCTTTATGATTTTAAACCTAAAAACTTTACAAGTTTTTATTTAAAAAATCCCGAAAATATCGATTTTTCGACGAAAAATTGCCGTTTTTTACCAAAATTCCGACTTTTTTTAAAGTTTTAGATAGTTTTTCAAATTCAAATATAGTTTTGTGTTACTAAAAATTTGTTAAAATACCTCCTATAAGTTACTAGCATTTCTAGACTTTACGAAAATTTCTGCCCCCCCCCCTCATAATGCGAAAGAACCGTAATTTCAAATTTTCGCTCATAAATCGATAAAACTAATCGAAACTTTCAGACGCTGGCCTCCTCTTCCTCCTCGTCAAGCGGCAACCCTTCGCGTGGACCGACAAGAAGTTCAGCGAGTTCAGCGTGTGGCGCGGGCTGTTCTTTTCGTTGGGCATGGTGCTGGGCCCGTTGATGTTGTCGAAGATGAACGTGCTCGGCAAGGACAGCTTGCTGATCATTATCGGATCGCTGTTCTCAGCCATTTCGTTCTTGATCTTGGCATTTGCCACCACAACGCAGCAAATCTTTGCCAGTGAGTTTTTTTATTAAATATGTTAAAAATAATTTTAAAAAGTGTGTACACTTAAGATAACATAGTACACTCCATGGAAAAACTATAGAACCACCACAGAACTTGGGTTCTAAGCCAGCCAGGGCCTGGATATTTATAGTCGGGCTTTCTTTTGGAACAGGAAACAACGGTGTAAAATTTGAGGCATCAAAGTTTAGTAGAAGGGGTACTTCCAGGGGTTGGGTCGAGGATTTTCATGGAAAAACTATAGAACCACTTTTTGGACTTCGAATTTGAGACCCTTTTCGAGGCTTTCCGGGAGCTATTTCGGTGGCAACGGGCCAGTATAAAGCTAAACTGCCAGTTTCAGTCGTTATTTCCGACAAGGCTGTTCCCGGAGAAGTTCTGGAAAACCCAATTTTAACAAAGCAATCCACTTTTTCCTCAATAAATTCACGAAACAAGTCTTGCCGGGAAACCAGCGAATGTCATCTAAAAGAGCTCGAAACGGCGAGTATTTTGGTATATCACATCCGGTAAAAACTCTGTTGACGGATGCGGTATGGAGCGGTTAATGCTGGACTACCTGACCGTAATGCATTTCGCGGCCCGTTGAACAAAAGCTCCCTGTCGCGGTACATTTAACATTCAATGGTTTGGGCCCTAGTCAATATTATCCGAGTTCCAGTATACCAAAATACTCGCCGTCTTGAGCTCTTTCAGAAGACATTTGCTGGTTTCCCGAAAAGATTGGTTTCGTGAATTCATTGAGGAAAAAGTGGATTTCTTTGTTAAAATTGGGTTTTCCAGAACTTCTCCGGGAACAGCCTTGTCGGAAATAACGACTGAAACTGGCAGTTTAGCTTTATACTGGCCCGTTGCCACCGAAATAGCTCCCGGAAAGCCTCGAAAAGGGTCTCAAATTCGAAGTCCAAAAAGTGGTTCTATAGTTTTTCCATGAAAATCCTCGACCCAACCCCTGGAAGTACCCCTTCTACTAAACTTTGATGCCTCAAATTTTACACCGTTGTTTCCTGTTCCAAAAGAAAGCCCGACTATAAATATCCAGGCCCTGGCTGGCTTAGAACCCAAGTTCTGTGGTGGTTCTATAGTTTTTCCATGAAGTGTATATCTTCTCGTTAGTGAAGTAACAGATTTATTGGTGAAAACACTACTTTTTAGCTTCTTTTCGTTTTACAACGCCAAAACTTCCCAAGATTGGCGTTGGTTGGTTGGTTGCTGCCCGAATTCACGGCTGAAACATTTTCCTAAAAGATCTCATAAGGAATTCCGGTCACTTCGCCTAAACCCGTTTCCCCTAAACCCATATCGCCTAAAACCCGTTTCGCCTAAAACCCGTTTTGCCTAAAGCCCACTTCGCCTAAATCCCACTTCGCCAAAAGCCCATGTCGCCTAAAACCCGTTTCGCCTAAAACCCATTTTGTCTAAATTTTGGTCATTTTCATATATAAATTTTTGACCAAAAAGTCGGCAATTTTCGAAAGCTTTATAATAGTTTCGTAAGATTTTAAAGAGACTCCTTGAAATTCTTCATCAAAAGCTATGTAATTGGCTTCATAATGTGGTTTTTGACAAGAAATTTGCAAAATTATGTTTAGAAAATCCTAAATATTATATATTATATATTATTATTTTATTATGTTATTTTCGTAGTTACTAATTTTATCAAGTATACTTGCTTATTTTTTGCGTTTTTTAGCGAATCACAACGGTTTCAAATATTAACGTTTGCGGGACCACATTTAACTGGTTTGACCCGGAAACATTTTTCTGAAAACTTTAGTAAAGTTCAAAATTCATGTAAAAAAGTGCCGTGTGCATATATTTTTTTGGCTTGCTAATATATCAGGTCTACTTATTTTTTGCTTTTTCGCAGATTTGACGTGAACGGAAACACAGACATTCCCGTTTGCCAGACAAAAGTGAACTAGTTAAAACAAACAAACAGAGAAAAACTACGGATTACACATGCTTTTTATTGAATTTGAGTTTTTATACGAGCTAATACTTATTTTTGATGTATTATTAGCGGATTCCTGTAACGCAAGGCAAAATTAACGTTTACATGACAAAATTCAACTGGCTTAACGCTGGACCATTTTTTTCTAAAAATAAATAGTTTGTAAAACATACAAAAATGGAAGGATTTCAGCTGCCTTCCTGGCGATTTTCGTGGGCGTCATCTCTCCTGGGTTCCGCTCATTCTTGCCTCGAATGGTGCCAAAGGAGCAGACGGCTCGGCTACTCACGCTAATTAGTATCGGTATGTTTTTGGAGGTGATAGGATGCGGCTTATTGTCATTTCCTCGAAACTTAATCTAGCCGAAATACCATTTTGTCGAAATTTCGGCAAAATGAAATTTCGACAATTTGTTAGCAAAATAAACAGCGCCTACCGTGACAAAAATCGATAAGAATCATAGCGCGTCATAAAGCGTTTTTAGAGCTATAGGGATCTTCAAAAACCATGTCAGCATTAAAAATGTTCCATTGGTTTTTGGTAGCTTTTCAGAATGAAACATTCAAAAGTTGTTCCAAATGCCTATCACTATAATTGTGCTGTTAGGATACTTTGAGCGTCGTCTATAAAGTTTTTCGATAGAAGGTTTTCTTTGTTTTTCTTTAGTTCCTTTCCTTTTTGAATATTTACCGGAATGTAGGTGACGAAAGGAAGCGGCACCCTACGCTAGACTAGTAATAAATACTAGACCAGCGCCCAAAACCCGCTTCGCGGGCCTTGGGCGCTGGAATTGGGCCTTTGCATGAAAAATTTGACTTTCCGATAACTTGGGTCCTTCGGACCCCTTCCCCCACCAACCACACACGCGCGTGCAAATTGCAAAAATGAGGAGATTTGTATTATTTCCTATTATGCAAATTACCCCCAAAAATGAATAAAACCGGCTTTAACTTTGTAAACTTGTATTTTATCGAGATTCTGAAAACGCGATCGGAAAGGGGAGGGTCGATTCCCCCGGGTGACGGAGAATTAGAGCATTTTATGCACGGGAAGGCCCTCAAATCGGGCCTCGAAAGTGACATCCACACACACACACACACACACAGAGATACACCCCAAAATTATATAAGGTAGGAATAGCGCCCACGCGAAGGCTTGCCACCCGCATCCCTTGTTGGGATAAGACCTGAACCAATAGAAGACGCGCGAACGGCTAATCAGCGGTAGTGTAATGCATTTGTCTGGATAAGGGACACTCTCGTGGAATAAGAGTTTATTAATATACAAAGAATACCGGAGAACATAGAATACACAAGTCGGGGATGGTCTGGGCTAAGGGGAATGTGCTAGGTCTGCATAGGGGTGGAGAAAACACCCTGGTCTGGGAGCTCGCCGGGGTCACCGGTATCGGGGATGCAGGACGGTAGTTTGACAAGATCTCGAATTACAAAATCTCGAATGACAAAATCTCGAATGACAAAATCTCGAATGATCAGAATCTCGAATGATCAGAATCTCGAATGATTAGAATCTCGAATGAACAGAATCTCGAATGATTAGAATCTCGAACGATCAGAATCTCGAATTTACAGAATCTCGAATGACAGAATCTCGAATGACAAAATCTCGAATGGTCAAAATCTCGAATGAACAAATCTCGAATGCCAGGATTCCCACGGTATCCTAATCTAGTTTCGTCTGGCTCGATCCAGCATCGATTTTTTTGTATTAGATAGAAGCTAGTAGGCTGTGAGTATGCCCTGCCGAGGACCAAGACCACTGACCAAGAACATTAGCGTTAAGTCGAAAAATTTGTTTTTTTTTCGACGCAAATGGCTCAAATTCTTTCAATCTTTATTTTTTAGATAGTGTTGCTACAGCTATTGATTGCCAAAACCTCCATAGAAAAAGTTTGGGTTCAATTACTGGGCCGCTAGTGGAAATTTTCATCCAAACTGTGTTCTGCTGAATCGAAGTTTTGTTCATTCGAGAGTTTGACCATTCGAGATTTTGTCATTCGAGATTCTGTCATTCGAGATTTTGTAAATTCGAGATTCTGATCGTTCGAGATTCTAATCATTCGAGATTCTGTTCATTCGAGATTCTAATCATTCGAGATTCTGATCATTCGAGATTCTAATCATCCGAGATTTTGGCATTCGAGATTTTGTCATTCGAGATTTTGTAATTCGAGATTCTGATTGGCAAGCTGCAGGACACATCACACCAACACCGAATCGCCCTACCAGTCATAGAAATGACCGGCAGCAATTCTCCCAGGAAGGGAGAAATTGCAGCGACTGGGGAAAATGCCCCTTTCCCCGGGCCGAGGGCGACCGCCATACGGTGGACCCGCTGGGGGGCGCGCGCCGGGACCCAGGGAGAATTTGGCCGCCCGCCAAGTCCGCCTAATTAAACCCTCGTAAGTCCTGTAGAATCGTAAGATTACTACAGAACTTTCGACAGTAGGATTGTTGTGGCTATTATTCTACTTTTAAGGATGACAAAAAGGAAGCGCTACCTGCAAATTTTTAATAAAAACGCGAAAAATTCTTTTTACCCGAATTTTTAAGTACTACCGGGAGACAGATTAATTATTTTACCTGATTGATTTCAAAATAAAGATTCATTAAATAATTGAGAAGATTAATAAAGTTGTTTAAGTGGTGGTGATTAATTATTTTATTTTAATGTTAAAAACAGTTTGGAGGGATCTGATCGCAAAGTTTCAAAGCTAATAAAAATATGTTTTACCCAGTTTTACCGCCAGAAAGCACGATCTTATATCAATACGTCATCCATAAGTGGGAAGTCACCGTTTTTATTAAATGACATTTGTGATTGCTGCCTACCTTTTTATTGTAGTTGAACAGATAAGATAAGGACTGGCTACCCAAAAAAAAAATTAAAAATCACAGGAAAAATTATGATGTTTTACGCAAAAGCCTTACCAACATAGGTGGATTTTTTATTAATAGGTACAGGATCAACGTGAACATAACGACGTGTAAGCCGGGCGACAAAATTTTCCAGAAAGCTAAAAACTATGTTATATGGGGGTATTTCCCCTATCCCGAAATTCTGTATCCAGAAACTCCCAATCCCGAAACTCTCTATCCCGAAACTCCAAATCCCGAAACACTGTACACCAGACTAGATCTTTGAAGTAAATAGTTTTCCGCTATTTTTCGATTTGGGAAATTTGATAAAATGATTTTCCGATGCCTTCAAGGATGTAGGGCGTTAGGAAACGCAAAATACTGAGTTTCGGGATAGAGAGTTTCGGGATAGAGAGTTTCGGGATAGAGAGTTTTCGGGATAGAGAGTTTTCGGGATAGAGAGTTTTCGGGATAGAGAGTTTCGGGATTGGAAGTTTCGGGATACAGAATTTCGGGATAGAGAGCGGCATTCACGTTATATGACGGGACGCCTTTTTTATGCCTCCGTGTTTACGAGTTGATTTTAATTTAAAGGATAAGAATTAGGAATATTGAACCACTTTAAATTCCAAAAAATAAAAGATATGTTATACACAAAAGCCCTACTACGGAAGTCACGGTTTTTTTTATTCCACAGCACTTGGCGAAGATGGTTTATAAGAGTAAGATAACATTTTCATGTAATTAACATGGAAGAATGTCTAGCGGCTATTTGCGGGATTTTAAAAATCACGGAAAAAATCGTGTTTCATCCGAAAAATTATCATCAGAAAATCGCAATATTAAACACCGAATGGCAAATAATAGCCGATGAATAAAAATTTTCGCACGTATCGAATAAAAAAAATGGTTTCATAGAAAACGAATATTAGTGAAAACCAAGGGTTACCGGTAACAATGTGAAAATCCTTCTCAAGCGATCCGATTCAGTGTTGGCAATCTGCCCAATCATCTCGTCGCTGATTTTCAACAATCTCTTCAACTGGAGCATCGACTGGTGGCCCGGGTTCAGCTTTCTCATCTGCGGATGCTGTCAACTGTTTTCGGCTGCTGGCCAGGGGTATGTGCTGCCCATTTATCAGAGTTTACATAATTCATATATATCTTTGCTATAAATTTATTTAGATTGAGGTGCTTTTGCACTTTCGGAGGGGGGGGAGGTAAACAGTTTAGAAAAGCTTGCTTGATTATTATTCCAAACCCGATTTACCCAGCTAAAGAGACGAAACCTACTTTTTGTGCTAGTCCAGAAATACCTGATCACCCTAAGAATCACGATTTTTAGCTTGTTGTTTTAGCGAAATTTAGCTATATTTGAAATGGAAAACGATCTAAAAACTTTTTAGTCAGGTTTAAAAAGTCGAAAACCAGGGATTTTTGGTCAAAAATCTATGTTTTTGGGATCTTAAATAGAAGTTTTTGCGCAAATTACATTTTTTAAAAGTTTCTAATATGCAGAGCTTTTATAATAGCGCATAATCAGTTCAAAAAATGTATTTCGCGTTAACAACGTCATCGAGGGTGTCTTCAAATATTAGGTTGGACCGAAAGTACTTTTTATAAAAATGGAAAATTTTTTAAAAATTTTGGGGGCCGCTTCGGTTGTTTTTTTTTTTTATTATTTTTTTTTTTTTGGGGGTTTTTGGGGGGAAAGGGTAAAAAATTTTGCCAAGGGGATTTTTTTTTTTTTTTTTTTTTTTTTAGGGGGTTAAAAATAATTAGGATCAAATATAATAAAAGAAAAAAAAAAAAATAGGAAAGGAAGAAAAACAGGAGAAGTTATTAATGTATTAAAAATAATTAATAAGGGGGAAAGAAGGAAGAAAAGGAAGGGGGGGGAAAGGGGGGGGGGGGGGGTGGGGGGGGTTTTTTTAAATTTTATAATAAAAAAGTAAAAGAAGAATGGAATTTTGTTTTTTTTGTAAGGTGTGGGGGGGTTTTGGGGTTTTTGGGGGGATGGGATATATTTTAAATTTTTTTTTAAATTTAATAATTAAATATAAAATTATATTTTTAAAATAATTAAAAAATGTTAAAAAAAAATAAACAAAAACATAATTTTATAAACAAAAAAGGAAACGCGATCACATTTTTCATAAACGTCCAGCCTGAAATTTTGAATTGAATAAGTTATTTTAATATTGCTTGAGTTTATGAAATTAGAATCTATTTCCAGATTTATCCACCGTTTGATGAAGCCGCAGTGGAAGTTGGACAAGGAGCTGCGAGACCACCGGAAAAGGCTTGGCCTCGAGCCGGAAGGGCCCGCCGAGCGATTGGCACATCCAGGTAATACCGCGTTTTTTTGGGTGGGGAAATATGAAACATATGTGTTTCATATTTTTTTGTAATTATTTGAATTTATTGAATCTATTAATTCAGAAACATTGCTCTTACAAAAATGGACGCTATTTCGAGATTCAAATGATTATTCTGAGCTTTTCGCCATTCACAAGATATTAATTACCGGTTCTTTGGCATTATCGGGGGGGACAAATCTTAGAATGCAATGTTTCTAATAAAAATAAAGCGTGTTTCTAATTTTTTTACGATCCCTGGGCGCTGAAACTGTACGAATTTGTAAAAATTTACAAGGGTAACGATTTCTCGACCAAAATGGCCGATTTTTGCCCAAAATTTGGCTTATTAAAGTTGTTAAATAGCTAATGATTGAAGTTTACTGCGGGTTTTGAACCTTATAATCAGCAAAGAAACCTTTATTCTAATGTGGTTGCTTCGAAATTCAAAATTCGAAAAAGCGGCTAGTTTCGGAATGTAAAGCACACAAGGCGACTGACGATCAGAGGCCAAAAATATAGATGCCTTCTCATAAAACACCGATTTTTCAGTGGACCCCGAAGAGCGAAGCGTGTCCAATACAGCCGTCGGGTCGGATGTAAATGAGGAGCTGGCTCAGTCGCTGAATGCATAAAGAATTTTCTTCCGAATTGTTCCAAATTTTTGAAGTAAATTTTCACGAATTTGGTAAATATTGTTCAAATTGCTTAAATTAGAGGCTCGACCTAGCATTGGTTTTTCTTGTTTCTGCACCAGGCGCCGATTTTCTAAAACACAATTTTCTTCGGTACTGGACTGTTAGCAGGGGGAAAACTAATTTTTGGTTTTGTCCTTCTATGCCTACCTACCCAAACGAAGGGTGTATTTTTTTTAATGTTTTTCGTAGTTTTTGATTGCTAGAAAGTTACAAAAACACTTAAACATTTTTGCAGATTCGAAAATTCGGCCTTTTTTTGGCCATGGTTCTTACATTTTTGACAAAAAAGCCAAACATTTCGAAAATTTTGATGGGGTTTTTTAGTTTTTACACGGAAATAAATGTGTAAAATGCTATAAAATGGTTTTTTTGTTAGAGGTTTATTGGGCAAAATCAATTTCCCCTTGCTAACAGCCCAGTACCTTTTCTTCTCAATTTTTTGTAAATTGACGTATTTTTTGCTTTATAATATGTATGGTAATTTTCCTTTTGCGTCTTATCACGCGCTTGTTTTGTGATTCCCCAAACCCTAGTCGTCACTTATCGGGGCTGACCATTTTACGGACAGCTGACCGGAAGGCCGGAAGCTTTGATAATTTTACTTTTTATTTTTGGCTCTTATTAGTCTGAATTTTGGAAGCAAATGAATTTATGTTTGGTTTTAATCGAACGTACTCACTTCAATTTAGCTTGCTTTTTGAGTCCATTTTTCTCAAAGTTTTTTTTGCGGAAGTGGACGTTTAAAAAAATCGATGTTTCACGAAAATCAATCAGCTGTCAAAGGATGAAAATTGTACTGAAGTGCACCGGGAACATCTTTGATTTTTTAGAAACACCATTTCCTACCGTTTCGGGTATCTTTTACTGTTTCTCTCCCTCGCTCTCTCTCTTTCTCTCTCTCTCTCTCGCTCTCTCCCTTTCTCTACCGTATCCTTCCGTACCTCCAAATTACGTCAAATTCCACTTTCCCCACCAAAAAAATTGTGGTTGTGTGAGAATGTGATAAATATACCCTCCAACGCGTGCTAATTTTCGCGTTACGACACCGTGAGAGCCTGAGAATTTACGAAAATCAAGGCTAAATTTGGACTCGGCACGCAAGCTGACATTTCGTCGCTTTTCAACATGCTTATCTGTAGTTGTCTAGTTCCGGGAAAATTTGGCGACGTTAGAATAAGAGAGAGAGAGAGAGAGCGAGAGAGAGAGAGAGAGAGATGGCTTCCAAGATCTCGTGTATCAATTCGTTACTTTAAACCACTTAATTACTCTCATTTGCGTCTGGCGAACCGGATAAAGGCCGGTTCAGGATGATTTTTACCTCATTCGAAGGCACGCGAAAGCGAGAAAACGAGCGCTCTTGGTCTTACAAAATTGTCTAACCATCGCTCGATATTTAACGAAAAAAACGAACAACGCTTTTTTCTCGCCTCTAAGGAGAGCTTTCAATAGATACCTAAATTGCCAAAATCGGACACTTCTGTGGGCGGATAAAGGGGAATGATAATGCATTCCGTTTGCGATCGCTCTTACCGGAACTATAATTTTGAAATTTCTCAGCGATCGGGGGGAAAATCTATGTTTCACGAAACATGCATTTTCAATTTGCCGCTCGTAATTCGGTACGGCGCAACGTTTTCTCCTGATGCCTGGCTTGGACCATTTTTCGGAAGCCAAACTTTTGGCCTGGTACAAGTACCTACAGTTACCTACAGTACAAGGTTGCATCACGAAAATTGCCTAGGCCAACGAAATTGTTAAAAATTCAAATACCCCATATTTTTGTTATTCCATAAATGATTCATTTCATGTTTAGATATTCAGGTAACCAGGGATTAATTTTAGGAAAGTTAAAAAAGTGAAGACATTTTTATGAAACACAACTTTTGTTTTCTTGTTTTCTATGCAATTTGATCTTTCGCAAATTCGATCTCTCTCGAAAACTCACTCCCAATAAGGCCAGTGGCAAAAATAATATTAAAATTTGGCGAGAATCGGTTAAATACAAAGTTCCACCAAAAAATTTATTTGATGCAATGGATCATTGGTTTGAATTATGCGTTTCACTTAATCGGAGAATGGACTGCTTTTCAACACATATTATTTAGTCTACGACCGAATTGGAACGGATTGATTTTAAAAATTCTTTTACCATTCCCAAAGCAGGAAAATTGACAATTTTTTGATGAAAATAAAACAATATCAATTCTTCGACGCAAATGACTGATTTTTCACCAAAAAGTTTTGATCCCTCCGACTCAATTTGTTGATTTTTGGAGCTTTCCACCAGTAGCGGCCGGTGAAATAAATAATTTTCATCTATTTCTAGATTTTTTGCAACCTTGTCGGACCCGCAAAACCGTAGAATAAGCCATTTGAACCAGGAAGCACCAGCAGGCGCTTATGCAAATTACGTTCCGCCCCTGCTTGTTTTCCTCCCCCAAAAAAAAGATAAAAACCGACCAAAACACGTGTATTTCATCTCGTCACCCAAAAATGACTCCGCCTCTCTTTTTCTGGCCATTAAAGGGCCCCCAGAATGGTCATTAAAAGCAGATAAGCGCGCCGTCGGCTTCCGCGTTCACCCAGTTTCAGCGCGTTGTTTTTGGATTTTTGAAGGCGTTTTACGAAAAAGGGGCGGTTTAAAATTGTTTAAACAGTCCCAAAATACATATAAAAATTAGGGAATTTTAGTGAAAGTATGTTTCAGGAATATTAATAGCAATTTGTCTTTAAATCTGTGCGTTACAAGGCCAATAACGCGGCAGGGAGCGGTTGTTAGCGGCCTTTTAATAAGTTTGAGCATCAACAATTTTGAAAATAAATATGTTGAGGTCAAAATCATATAAATACGTAATAAGAACCTTCATATAATTTGACGGTTTTTTCCTAAAAGTGTGTTTCAAAATATTTTATTCCAACGCGGTTTCGAGAGATCGCAGTAATCAACGTAGTGAGATCGAAAATCCTTGTTCGTTAACGATCCAGTGGCAGGATCGATCCCGAATAAATTTATTCGAGAATAAAAAAATTTTTATTTATCCATAAATTAAGCAAATTTGTTTTAGATTTTGGATCGGAACTTTATGGCCCGTATGGTAAACCTGAGCCAAGGTACCAAGAATAGGAACGGCGGGAAACTTGGCTACACCTTTGGAGGAACGAAGTAATAGTTTTTTTGGATAGAATGCTTTTTATTGCATTTACAGGGTGTCCCAAAAAAAACGACCCATCTGGCATATCCAACCGGCCCCAAATTTGGACCAGAGGTGTATCGGACCTTAAATAACAACAATCCTGAGTTACAGCCCCATAGCTACAGTAGTTTTAAAGTTATAACGAAAATACTGTATTTCCCGGAATTCTGAACAGTTTTATCGGCTATCTTTTTGGACTTTGCATCGATTTGCATCGACTTCCGGCTGCGAATCCCTAATTTCGCTTAAGAACTGGGGTAGTTTTGCGTTGTAAAAATTGCTTAAATCGAAGCTTATTTACCCTGGAAAAAATTTCTTACGGTAAAGAAGGCCTACCGGATCATTTTCACTTAATGTTTAGGGAGCCGAATTCCACGGAAACCCTATGAAAAATGGAAAATAAAGTTTGTTTTTGCTATAACTCGAGAACGACTGTAGCTACGGGGCTAAAAGTCAGGATTGTTGTTATTTAGGGTATGATACACCTCTGGTCCAAATTTGGGACCGATTGGATGTAACACGGCGAAATGCCAGATGGGTCGTTTTTTTTGGGACACCCTGTAGCTTTCTTCTAAACGTAGAACTCCCTTAAAAAATGGCAGAAAAAGGCGTGTTTTAAAACCTATTGTGGCTGCCAAGTTTTCTACAATACGTGACAGTTTTGCAAAGTTGTAAAGAAAAGCAAAAAACAGCTTATTCATTCCAAACCAGCGCCCAAAACCCGCTTCGCGGGCCTTGGGCGCTGGAATGTTATCGTAATTCTGAGAACGCCATCGGAAACAGGAGGGTCGATTCCCCCAAGTGACGTAGAATTGGGGCGTTTTTGACACGGGAAGGCCCTCAAATCGGGCCTCGAAAGTGACATCCACACACACACAAAGATACACACCAAAATTATATAAGGTAAGATTCGCAGTATTTCTTTTGTCTTAACACTTTTTATGGGCTCTGCAAAATTCTGAAAAAAATCTCTGAAAAAATGAAGTTTCGGTGAAGTGCCAATTTGGAAGTTTTTTGTCGGACTTGATTGATCTGTCGTGGAAACCTTGGGAATCAGAAAACGCCGGTCGCTTCCTTTGGCACGCTTATAATCCTGCACCAAAATTGGCGCATTTTACTTTTAAGTATGCTCTGATATCTTACTGTAAAGTTATTCTGAAAGTTATACGTCCGTCGTACGTGAAAGTCCATAGCAAATTTGGAAAACATATTCGGAATCAGCGAAAAATTCTGCACAAGATGCACTTGGTCCCGAATCGAAACTCCAAGTTGAGTAAAAACACTTTACAGTTAGTACAGCACTAAATATTCTGTGTTAATACTTGGCTTAAGTTACTGATTTTTATGATACAGAGGATGTTCAGCAAATTACCGAAATTAACGGGAACTCCGCGACTTAAATGCCTAAATTTATACCGCGCGTACGGCATCAATATTGAAAAAAAAAAACGTGTTTCTCACCCTGCAAACCTCAAGAAAATTCCAGAGACAATAATAAAATTGATTCTGGCTGGTCTACAACTCCGGTTCAAAAATTCATGATTCTTGATTTTAACAGTAAATAACTGAATATTTAATTGTCTTTTATCGTACTTTAAAATTACATTTTCATATTCCAAATTTTAGCGAAATTGTGTTTTAACTTTCTCTATAAATAACTGATATCCCCTCGACCCATTCATCCCTTGGTTACAATTTCTAAAAATGATTGGGTGGTTGTATTGTGGAGGTGGGTGATTG